ATAACAATTTGCTTAAAAATCAGGACGTAAATGTTGCACATTTCTTTCTGCTTCATTCACACTCAGGATTATTAATTTGGTCTGTTGTAAAACTTTTTTTTTTTTTTTTTTAATTCCTAATCCCACATCAGGTCGGACTTTACATCTGAATGGCCTGGGTTTGTTTAAATAGTCATTCTGTTGATGCTAATATAATTCCTCTAAGCAGCTGGTTATTGTCGCTCATTCATTATTCACTGGGCTGGTAACAGTGTGTGAGTGGAGTGTGTGTGAGAGCCTTCACCTCATCCTACTCTTCCTCCTCTTCCTCCTCCTCCTCAACAGTCAGGACGGTAAAAAAAATTGACTGTTAATACTGTATTAACTTCAGAAACAAATTTAAAGCCCTGACTGTGAGGATATTAAACTGTAAACATGTTGAAGCCTTAAAGTATTAAATAAACACAGAGTTTGACTTGAAGTGTCATGGTTGGTTGATTTAAAAGTATTTTCACAGAGTTTGACTTGAAGTATCATGGTTGGTTGATTTAAAAGTATTTTTTTAATACCATCATTCTGACGTTCCAGTTATCACAGCTGATTTAAAAGTTAGAGACTCTTTGAATGAAACGCATCACGACATCTTTAAAGAAACAAACAAATCTGTGTCGTTTTCTTCTCAAACGGAGAAGAAAATGAAAATCTTTTCTGCTCGATTCTTACCTGCAGATTCCTTGGACGAGGAGACTTGGTCGTGTGTGTGTGAGGATGCTGAGCTCTGCTCCTCCGCTGCTGTGCAGTTGACTCGGTGTGTGTGTGTGTGTGTGTGTGTGGGTGTGAGAGAGAGTGATTTTCAGTGAGAAAGGGTGTGTGTGTCAGTGTTTTTTGACAGACCCACAGGAAGGGGCGGAGTCACGGCGGGTGGGAGGAGTCAACTGCTGGCGTAGAAGAGGACGCTGTTGACGCAACAGAGGATGCACAGGTGCACACAGACACACACAGACACACTAACAAAACACACACACACACACACACACACACAATGTAGATCATAATGAGAAGGTGAGAAAAGGTTGGGACAAAGGTGACAGCTTTAATTGCGCTGCCCCCTCAGAAGCTTCTATCAGAAATGGACAGAGGAAGAGAAAAAAAAAAATCTCTCTCTCTCTCTCTCTCTCTTTCACACATACACATACACACATGCACACAAACGCCCATTTTTGTTGGTTGGAAGCTGTGGTTTTTAGTCAGAAGAAGATGGGAAGCTTTAAAGCATTTTTCATAACTGTGTCTGAACCGTTAAGTGGACACACACACACCAACACACACATACACACCAACACACACAGACAGACAGACAGACGTGTGTTGGAGACATGTGATTTGTAGTGAGGATTTAACACAGTATCTAAATCAGGGGCAAAATTAAAAACGGGGACAAAGTCAATATTTAATGGGAACTTGACTGGAAGTTTCCACCTCGCACCAGATTTGAGAATTTTTCATATGGAAATAAAATCTGAAATGAGATGTAAAATTTTTCATATGGAAATAAAATCTGAAACAACCTAAGCTTAATATTATAGACTTTAAATTTGAAATAAGACACACATCAGTCTCTCTCTCTCTCTGGTCTTTTGAGGTACCTTTTTTAATGTCAGTCTTTTGTTCAGGCCAACAAAAGAACAACCAGAAAATGTATGTGCGATCTTATTGTGCATACATCACTAAGACTACAAATCCTGTCAGCATACAGTGGCTATATAACGGCAGGCCAAGTATAATTACACCAGGGGCCAGATTTGGTCCGCGGGCCTGAGTTTGACACCTGTGATTTAAACGATGAAAACAAGTCAAATCTGATTCATTTGTTCAGCACGAGGACCAGTAAAGGTATCTCCGCCATCTTTATTATTTCTAATCAATTCCGTCTGGATGTGGAGCAGAATTAAAGCAAACTACATGTTAATGTTTCAGATGAGGCGTTAGAGATGTCCAAAGCAGTGGACGGGTGAGGACGGGGGACAGTTCACCAGTCCACCCCCAGGGTCACATATCGACGCGATCAACCTGATCCCATCATGATGTTTAAGGCTGTGGAAAAACCCGGGAACGACATCGGTGATGTTTCTAGGTAAGGTGAAAACCAGTGTCAGTTGCTTCTTGTACCCACTAGGGGGGGCATTAGGGGAGCGCTCTAAATCAGATCTTTGTCAAAATCTGGATCAGATGCCATTAGAATTTCATGAGAATCATTGGATGTTTGTCACTGTTTCAGTAGGTGGCGCTACGTTTACACACAGTTATAGATCATATAGCTATATTTCTGATCATCTGTGTGAGTTCTGAAACCAATGTGTAGTGCATTTGGTCCTGTATAAACCTGTGGTCCATGTGTTCAGATGCAAAGATGAGGAGATCATGAAAACAGAGTTGGAAAAAAATAAAAAATAAAAACCTCAGTTACCAGCAGGGATCAATCACTAAAGTGCAAAAGTTTGTGCAGCAAAATTCCAAAATACTTGGAACAAAAGCTAAATGTATCTGAATTAAATGTTGAAATGCACCGAGAGCCGCGGGGGCTGCTGGTATTTAAAAAGCCAAGTCAAATGAAACAACATTCTTTTTCGTCTGGCTTCATTTTTTTTTACCCGTTAAAAATCAGTGGAATTTTGATGAGATTGTGAAGGAAAAATAAGAACGGTGAGTGTTTCTGTGGACGAAGGCCGAATGGCATTCAGACATTAAAAACCGTGGACCACGACAACGTGGCGGGAATGCAGTTGGTTTTTAAGAGGTTCATTAAAGCTGTTAGCGCTGGCTTTTACTCTGTGCGTCAATTACTCAGCATCAGTTCATGTCATTAAAGATTCACTCTTCAGCAGTGTCCAGGGCAGCATTCCAAGCCATAATGCGTTGAGTTGAAGATATAATGTCTTGGCTCAGCGTCTGACTGGGGCTCACGGAGCTCGGCACTCATGTTGACTGGGGACAAACGGCATCATCTGCCTTCACTGTTTGTCTTTTGTTCAGTCTAAATTATTTAAAATTCTTTAGTTGTGCACCTGTGGCAGGGTCATAAAAATGTTTTCAAACTTTTTTTTTTTTTTTAGTTTTGCATAGTTCTGAACCTTAATTCTTTACTTTAAATTCAACTACTACAGCTGAACTTTGAGCTGCTGATTTTCAACGTGACCTCTGATGACCCCGTGCCACGTCAGGGTCGTGATTTCCGCCATTTCTACGAGGCTGCACCGTGACTTCTCTGTCAGTATACCAGACCTGCTGCTGAGCTCAGCACATACGTCACCAAGCTGTGTTATTAATAATGTATTGAACCACATGACGGGCACAACTGCTCCACACACCGTTAATATTCATTAGTAATAATGTTACAAATGAAGATGAGGAAAATAACGTTGATGGACTTGGAGCTGTGTGTGGTGATCTCGTCCAGGGGTGTCAAACTCAAATTCACAAAGGGCTAAAATTCAAAACTAGGGACCAAGACGTTGGCCAAAGTCAAAATTTATTGACAAAAATTGATGGCAATTGTGCATGTTTTCCCTTCTCTCTAATGTAAATGTGTAAACATTGAATCTCGTGCCAGTATATAACGCTAATACACATTTGATATGATCTTTTTGAGTGAGATGATAAGTCACACTTTAAACTTAACTTAAACTTATCTTTAAGTTAGGCTTAAAGCTACAGGATTAGAATGTGGGTCAGATTGGAATCAACGTAAGGTTTTTACGTGTGGTTGACTTGTTGAAGTCCAGGCTGAGTTTAGCTCGACTCCACTACAGCACGTTAATGAGTCTAACTTTAGCTCGTTTCCTAACACTGTCATTAGCAGCTGCTCGTCCATTGCTGAGACTTTTCTCCTGAACTCTTGTCATCAACACCTGCCTTACGCTCAACCCCCCGCTCCACCCACCGCCCTCCCTCACCTCAACCCACGTATGCAAAGTCATTTGGGTTGAGTAGTGAGATATATACGCCGCAGCGTTCAGGTGCCTCCTGTAGGAGGAGTGAGGAGCAGGACCACGCTCCGCATCGTGTTTCTGCGTCTCCTCTGGAGGACGGTTAATCTGTATCTGTTTCAACCATGTGTCAAGTTCTAATCCGCTGCAGGTTTGCTTCAGGGCGAACAAGAGACCTGAACAAATGACTGCAGGTCCTCTGATCTCCTCACCTCTCCTCTCCTCCCCTCCCCTCTCCTCCCTTCTCCTCTCCTCCCCTCCTCAGAGATTTCATTAGGGTGGTCCGGCAGCTTCTGTCCACTTTTGAGAAAACAAGATAAATGTAAAGTCCGAACACCTGAGCGTCACGGTCTGATGAAGAGCTATCTTTATCTGTTTACCTTTCCCCAAGTGTACATATGCCTGGGTGTGTAAAGTGAGTCTGTATTAACGCTGTTCCATGTGTTGGACTAAACTGTCTACTGCTACATAATTGCATATATTCCCAGTACCGTTAGAAAAAGGTCTAAACGATCGTGTGAGTTTATGCAAATAAAAGAACAACAGGCCATAAATATGCAGACGTCACGCGTTGGAACGGTTCGCCAACACATTTGTCCCGAGGCTGCTGCTGCTGCTGCTGCTGCTGCTGGTGCCGCTGCTGCTGGTTGTGCCTGTTGTGGTTCTTGTCTCTCCCTTGTGTGTGTCTCACTGTTGTGGTTTTTATGTCCTGTTTCTTCACTGCATGTTAAGTAGAGCACAATAAGTCGGATCATTATAGGTCTTATTTACGTCATGTGGAAGATTTATGCCTGTGCATCATATCCTACCTCAGTTGACCCAAACTTGAATTTAACGTGCTGTCAGTCAGTCTCCATATTTGTGGTGTTTTGTGTCTTTTTTTTACGCCAATGATTTTCTTGACAGTTGAACATGTATCAAGTTTCACACCAAGCTGACGACGTCCGACCTCACCCTCCAATGGTGGAATGCAGGGTCAGTGTGTGTCCATCTAATGATTATCCAAACAAGGAAATTAGACGCAGGCCTGTGGTTTATTGTGACATCACTGCTCACACACACACACATGCACGATCACACACATGCACGACAATAGTTTGCATTCATGTTGCATCTCCCCCGTCACTCCACTGAGTCACAGGCACTTGAGTTAATTGCACTTTTGTGTTGTTCGGGTCAGAACCTCTTCAGGAGGATGGACCTTCTCTTCTGCCCCAGTCGTCCGACTCATACTCTGTTGTCAGGAAGGAAGGAAAGGTCGAGGCACAGACGAAGAGGCATCAGGGCAGATTTAGCCAGAAACCAGGGAGAATTCATCTTGACAAATATTCACGTTGGTGCTCATTTGGAAGGATCTCAACCTGTGTGTGTGTCTTTGGTTTAAACCTTCATGCCACAAATGTTCCTCGCCTATTCCTTCCTTCCTCCCTTCCTTCTTTCCTCCCTCATTTTTTTCGTCTTCCTGTCGACTTGTAGTTCACACAGATTTTTGGATGAGAAAAGATTTAGAGAAGAAATATAAACCGACAGTAAAACTAAACTGAAGTTCATGGAACAAATAATCGGCCAAACCTTAAAAAAAAAAATTTCATTTCAATAATTACCTTTGGCCTTTATTGACCTCTGCTCTGTCTGGGTGATATTGCTTGTTGGTTGTGTTTCTCAGAGGAAATATAGTGAAGTGAAGTTTGTCCAGATAAACGTTACTCTACATGTGTCAGACGTGTCAGAATCCGAGAAAAAAATTTAACAAATCTCAACATTTCTCTTTGTGTTGTGAAGTAAAGAGTTTAATTTTCACCTGCCGTCCAATCAGTGCATCTTAAAAATAAAAGTTGTTTCTCAGGGGAAATAACACAACATTACATTTTTTT